AGTCATTAAGTGTGTCATTCAAGGATGTAGAAGCTGAATTCAAAAGTGATTGTTGACAATTTTCTGCTTCAAGTATTCAACCTTCAATGATGGATTTTATGGGCTGTAAATTTTTAAGGGTATGAAAAGGCTTACAATAAAGGTTTGTCGATTGAAATCTTTGGAAAATTGGTTGATCGATTGGTTTTCAACTTTGGAATACATCATTGGATTTTGTAATGATTTAGAGGTTGGAATGGTTAACCGAATGGAATCAGGAATTTTAAAAATTATTAAAAAATTTGAGACCGAAGTACTCGAATTTTCAAAATACGTTGAACACAACTGTAATTTAAGTTTCTGTTTATGCTGTGTTGTTCTCTGTCGATGACATAGTGTGTTTAAAAGGACGCTAGAGTCCTTAATATCCCGAACTGACAGAAGGTTTCTAAGGATAGAGCTGTCTTCAGACAATCTGTTAGCACGGCAATGGGCCCACGTGCGCCCTAGCCAAGGAAGTATTAAAAATTTTGATTTTAATTTCACCCCCAAAAATTAGATTTTCAAATCTTCAAATTACAACCCTAGATGAAAGTTTTTAAATAGCTGTAAAAACAACACAAACATCAAGTCAACTTAATTTCTATACATTCCCACAAACTCATCTCCACGCCTTGACAATCAACAGTAAAAAATCTTGCAACAAAACAAAATTCTGAACAATTTTTTAATTAAATTCAAAATCTTGTTCCTTTCCTTACATTGTTTTACTTCCATCAATCCTAATTTTCCAACAATATTTCTCTTGAACTTTATAACAAACAATGTTTATCAGTATTATCATCAATTTTTAAGACGATTTGATCAAAAAGTTTCTCAATATTTTCTTATTTAAATTTTCTATCACTTCTGTTTGACTTTTCACCTTTTCTTCAATTCATATATTATGAACGATGAACCTTTAGGGGAGATGGAAGAAGTAAAAAGTTGTTCTTGAGACATTTTGTATGCCTTTGAAATCTTTATAATGTTTTGTTGGGGTTGATCAGTTGTTAAGTTACATGAAAAATTGATGAAATGAAAGCACCTTTTAGAGTTCTAGAGTAAAAAAGAACTTTTAGATTGCCGGATGCGTGTGTAGCCAGAAATCGGTAGCTATACTTAATGGAAGCTAGTCTTAATGGTAGCTAGTCTTAATGGTAGCTAGTCTTAATGGTAGCTAAGTCCTAATGATAACTAGTCTTAATGGTTGCTAGTCTTAATGGGAGCTAGTCTTAATGGAAGCTAGACGTCATTCATGAGTTTCCCCCATCATTTTCTCATGTGAACAAATTTTTATCCCCGCAAGGTTGAGTAAAAAATACTCAACGAAATTGACCCATAAAAAGGTTTATGTATATATTTGTAAAAAGTTAAAAGCTGACATGAGTGGACTTTAATAACTTTTTGATTTGTCGATAAATTAAATTAAACATGATTCTATTGTGGGATGATCATGGGAAGCAGAAAAAAAGTTTCAAAGTAAATTTAATAAAGAGCAGGTTGAACAAACGTTTCAGCAACTTCCTATGTCATGATATTTTTCATTATCTTCTATTGTATGTGAAAAAAGTTTATATTACAGCTTCCTGAGATGTGCAATAAAGTTTTCTTGTTTCTATCCTCAATATTTTTTATAAAGGGTTCTCTTCTGGGAATGAGTCTTACTGCAGTATATAAGAATGAGCATATATACTTCCTGTTTGATATTAAATCTGTTATTATTTTGGAATTTTCTATTCTTAGAATAGCTTTATGGCTTTGGATATGTTGTAAGTTTTTCAGGTTAATTACGACTTGGAAAGTTTCTATTCGAAAATTTATTTTGAATGATGTAATAGAAAGTTTTATGTTTATTAATATCCATTCTTGGAAAATCTGAAAATAGTAACAAAATGGAGTATGTAGAATGACTCTTGCCACTTTTTGTAGCTACTTTATAGCACTTTTAAAGATTGAGAGTGTGAAGTTTAAGAACAATTTCAAAAAAACTTTTTGAAGTGAGAAAAAATTGGGCTGACAAAAAAAAAAATCAAATTTCAAAAAGCCGTTAAAATTTTTGTTTGCATAAAACGATTAAAAATCATCAAAATTCGTTATGTTTAACAAAATATCCCCTCAAGGATACACAGAATATAAAAGAATTTAATCATCAGAACACAAAACCTCTTTAGATTTAAGAAGCACAAGCTCCATGAGGCAAATAACTCTACCATATTTTTACAACTTAAGAATTCTTCCCTTTTTGTTATTACCTCTGAGTATACGCTAATAAAAACAATATTTTGTTGTGTACGCTTTGAGGATAAAAATAAAATGAGCTGAATGGAGGAGAATAAATTTAAATGTAAACGAAAAAGAAGAAGGAAGGAGATGAAACATGTGATATATTTAGTCAAGACACATTTTGGTGTCCTAGAAACTATGAAGCGAATTCAAAAATGTGTCTTGGGAGTTCTTTAATGCGCAAATCTTCACAATAAATCTTCGTAAACTTTATGTAACCATAATCAAGTAAGAGACTATTTGAAAACGACTAGGGAGTGATATTTCGATGTTTTATGTCTCATATTAAGGAAGAATGAATCACATTAAAAGTGAGAAGGAAATCATTAATTTCGACACAAACGATCCATTAAGTCCTCAATAATATTTGTGAAGATTAAAAGTTATAATTAATTGCATATTCTTTTTCATATTTGACCTCAATTAAGTTTATAATTATTTTTGTTTAAGTATAAATTTTTGTGAAAAATTAACCTCGCAGGAATTCAGTCTGAAGAATATATAAAGAGACATGCTTCTAGGCTGAGACTTGTTTTGGGAAATATTGAAAGTCGTGGAAATTTACGTCAGGGGTTAAAACACTTCACTGACCCCCACCCCTCTCCACACTAATTTATTTTGTTTTAATTTTGAAGAAAATCACAAACTCCACTTGTCTAAGGGAAGGTGTACTCACTCCCCCAACCCCCAAAGAGGTCTGAAATAAAATTTTTCATAGACATAATGAATGAACTACATCAAATTGTTCGAGGCTACTAAAAATAGTTTACTACTAGTTGTTAACGAGATGTTGACTGGAGACAAACAAGCAAACAACAAAACAATCGAACATGCGGCAAGGGTGCTTTTGAGGGAAAGTATTTCGAAGGAACAATTTTTGTGAGAAAGTTTTTTGAGGGAAATAAAAAATTCCAAATAACACGTGTGTTTTTAAGCACTGCTTAAATATACAAGCTGTGGCCTCGAAATCACCCACGTGATTTATTTCACCCGATTTTAGTTTTTAAACTCAAGTCTTTACATGGAAAATTTTAAAAACTTTTGTTTCAAAACCTTCTTAATAAGCTTAGATTAGTGAAAACTTTACTTAAGTTCAATTTTTAATGATTTTTTAAAACATTTTTCTTCGAAATTTCAATTTGAGATTTAAATTCTCTCGATGTTTTTTCCTTGTTTAAAATGTCCTTCGTTATTATTTCCTTTTAAAAACTTTTCCTCGAAAAATCTTCCTCCATAAATTGTCCCTCGAAAACATTCAAATGTTTTCATGTTTTTCAAAGAAGCAAACAAGCAAACATTCAAGTGATTTCGTCGAATATCTCGATAACACGGACAAGTTAAGACTTCAGGTTTGTTACAAAATATTTGTATTGTTGTCCCAAAGAGTTATGAAACTTTTAGTGACAATTTATTCAGCGATTCCCGAAATATATGCGAAAAACATAATTTTTGTGGGGGTAGCAAATTATATCCGATTATTGCAAAACATATTTTCAAAAATGCTGAAACGTATTTTATTTGGGGGCCATTCACTTATTACGTAATGCTTTTAGGGGGAGGGGGGTCTAAGATTTTGTTACGGTTCAAACAAAGAAATTTTTTTTCATACAAATTTTGTTACGGGGGGGGGGGGGGGGGTCTAAGAAGTCATTTTTTCGCGTTACGTAATAAATGAACAGCCCCTTGTCAAAAAACGTATAAATTTTAACTTGGATTTTTTATAAACCCAATGAGATGAAATTTGAAATGCAAGTTCTGTGACTATGCCTGAATATGGAACCGACGTCAACTTTGCAGGCGTTAAGAATTTCCAAGAGACATCCGAGTAGCTTACTATACACTTCAATCCAGTGTAAAATGTAAATGATTTAATAAACTAAAGTGCTGTAATAAACCACTGGTTCTCAAACTTTTTTCAGCAACAACAACGTAGAGTCATACTTTTTAAAACCATATTGAAATTGACTATAGCTTCAATGTTTTATTACAATGTTACATGTTTTTTAATTAATTTTTGCGAAAGGTTTTCAAGGATCAATCTGCCTTTTTCTTGAGGAGAGACTAGTATCTAGGGTAACCATCCATAGTCAAAGTTCAATTTTATTTTTAACTTTAAAGTATAGTACATGGATAGGCTGTCCATCGGTTGTTGTCGATTTTTGGTTGAACATCGGGACATGTCTTGATTTAAGCTTTAAAAAGCGGGACAGATCAAATTTTCAAACATTTTTTCAAAAAAAAACCAGGACTGTCCCTCTCAAAAGCGCTCAGTTGGATAGTCCATGATTTATTCTCTTTTCTAAGGTCATGTAGCCATAGATGCCAGCATTTAGAAAGTAGCCAGACCCGAAAATGTTATTCCTTCAAAAAAATCTATCTAATCTAGGGTTCGCCAAAATGACATGCCCATGCATGCACATGCAAAAACATACGCATGTATGCGCATGTATATCTGAGAAAAAAAATTGAAACTTCTAATTTTTGCTGGATTCATTTCAATATGTCTCAATAATAATTATTTGGACACTTTTGATCAATTTGACACCAAATCTTGAACCCTAATCTAAACACTCTAAAGCATGCACTTAGAAAGCACTTGATAAATAAACCAAAATTAATTTTCAATATCAGTTAATGCTTGTTCTGATAAAGAAAGCCTTTGATACCAAAATATTATTTTTTAACTTCAGACTTCATTGTTTTTCTTTAATTTGAAGTGTAAAGATGTGGCTCTTCTACTTAGCCATTTTTTTTGCATTTATTTTCATTCTTGATTACTTTCTTGTTGATAGAAGAAACGTTGAACTAGCTAAGCAGTTCAATGGTCCTCTAAGGCTTCCATTAATTGGAACTACGTACGTCTTTTTTGGGGTGTCGACCAAAGGTGAGTGAAGACAAGAATTAAGTGACAAATTATTATTATTGGGTGAGTATGTCTGTGACGTTCCTGAAATAGATGAAGCTTCCATATTAAGATGTAGTTGCTAATGCAATAACTAGTGCGCACGTGTTATTTTAAGTGTTAATTCTCTCCTATATTAGAATCATTTACATTGCACTTTTATCTTTACTTAATCCTGTCTTAATCAGTGCTTATCACATTCCTGATAAAAATATAAATATAAACACCGAGCTGCTATCAATAAACGTCAAATGATATTAAATAATTTATTTCCCAGAATACTTTGGCTTGGTCAAAAGTTTATGTGACAATTATGCCAGAACTAAATCAAAACTCGGATGTATTTGGGTTGGACCTGCTATGGAACTAATATTTGATGATTATAAAGTAATTGAAGCTGTAACAACAAATCCAAAATGTATAGCCAAAAGTTCTCAGTACAGTTTCTTGCATGCAGCAGTTGGGGAAGGTTTATTGTTCAGTAAAGGACAAAAGTGGTTCAACCGACGCAGAATCATCACACCGACTTTTCATTTCAAAATTTTGGAGCAGTTTTATGAAGTTTTTCAAAATCAGAATCGGAAGTTAATTGAGAAAATTAAATGCGAGCCAAATGGACAGCCTTTCAACATTTTTCCAGTAATCACTTCCTCTGTCTTAAATGCACTGATTGAAACTGCTATGGGATATGAATTGAAGGCTCAAGATTCTGAATATTTAAATGCTGTGAAAGAGGTTGGCGTGGTTATTGCTACAAGATTTCTTACTCCATGGCAAAGACCTGACTTCTTATTCAATTTATCAAGTTCTAAACGCAAACTTGACAAATTTGTAAGAATCTTGAAAGACTTCACAACAAAAATCATTGAAGAACGACGAAAGCTATTACTCAATAAGGAGTCTGAAGATTTAGAAAATTTGGACGAAGAAGATGTTGGATTGAAGAAGAAAATGTGTTTGCTTGATGTTTTGCTGCAATCAACAATCAACAACAAACCATTGAGCAATGAAGACATTCAAGAAGAAGTTGATACATTCACATTCGCTGGACATGATACAACAACGAATGCAATATGCTTTACACTTCACATGATTGCAAAACATCCAGAAGTACAAGAAAAATTAAATAAAGAAATCCAAGACGTGATTGGAGATGAAGAATTGACATTTAAAAGTTTGAATGAATTTAAGTACCTTGAGTTGGTGATTAAAGAAACTTTAAGATTGTATCCACCAGCACCGATGATTTCGAGACGTTTCTATGAAGAAGTTAATTTTGGGGATTTTATTGCTCCAGCAAATGCTAATTACAACATAGCTTTATTTAGTGCTTTTCGTAATCCTGAAGTTTTTGAAAATCCTGACGAATTTATTCCCGAAAGATTTTTGAAAGATTTGCCTGCGTTTGCTTTCATTCCATTCAGTGCTGTAAGTTTTGATTAATTTATAATTATTTGAAGGGATAGTTGTTAATATTTCATGATTTTCATCTAATACTTAGGGTCAGAGGAACTGTATTGTAAGTATCTTGGACTGTATAATAAAATTCTTTATTAATTGAGTTCTAAAATTACATTGCTTTCCTTCAATAGGGTCAAAAGTTTGCAATGACGAGTATCAAAACCAACATCATCAATATTTTGAGGCAATTTACTTTAATTTCAAGTGGGAAGGAACCGGAAATTGAAATAAATATAACTCTTAAATGTGACTCACTACTTGTAGGTTTTGAAAGCAAATAAAATTGATGCTGAAGATAATATTTAAATCTGCAAATATTAAGTTGATTTTTATTGAATAATGTAAGTCATTAATCTTTCTGTCTTTAATTGTCTTAGTTTTTCCCATCATATACTAGTAAGACCTTAAATAATCATTGCATAAATTTTATATAGTCATGTTAAATCAAAATGAATTAGTTTTATAAAAGAATTAAAAACAAATCAAATAAAATGAATTAAAATGTGATTTTTGTGTAAAAAAAATTGTATTGTTGGTTCTTGATATTTAATTGCATGTTTCAGCGGCGTAGCAAGAAATTTTTCGAATGGCTATATTTTTGAATTTTTTATGGAGGGGGTTGGATTTGCATTTATTTTACAAAAACCTTAGCAAAATTAAAAAATTTTCTACTGTGTGAGAATGGAAATCTGCTCACTCATTTCCTTTTTACGCCACTGGCAAATTATTTTATAATTGACAGAAAAATACAGCAATACACTTTAGTTATCGTTCAATTATGACGTCCAAAATTTAGGGAAGGGGTCCAAGATTTTGTGACAAATCAAACAATAGAATTTTTTTCAAATATAAATTTTGTGACAGAGTGGGGGGGGGGGGGAGTGGGGGGTGAGGTGATGAGGCGGAAAAAATTATGTTTTTAACAGACATCATAAGTAAATGACCCCTAATTGACGTTATGAAACCATTGCTAGTCATTGTTAAATCTGTAGGATTTTTTTATTTGCGCTTACACATTTATTTCGTCTTTCATTCTAACCAGAACGTTTTATTATTAAAAAATTAAGTAATATCCTCTATATCTTCAATAATCAATTTAGTTAAGTTTCGAATAATTTAAAAAAAAAACCAAAATCACACTTTAACAATAAAAAGATGTTGTTTGAGTTTATCGTGTTATTTATTGTGGTTATTTTTGTTCTGAATCACTTCCTTGTTGATAAAAGAAATCTTGAACTTGCTAAGCAATTCAATGGTCCTCTAAGGTTGCCATTCTTTGGGACGATGTATATATTTTTTGGAGTGTCGACTAAAGGTGAGTGATCACAACAATTAGCTGTTAAAATTGTAAAAAGAAAGTTTTTTAAAAAAAGTTTGAAGTTTTTTTAAAAATAAAATGAAATTATTTTTCAAAATAGAATGAAATTAGTTTGTAAAAAACAATGAAGATAGAGCTGAATAAATCTATCAGTATGAAGTTAAGGCAGCTATGAATAAGTGTCTGCATTCAAAAAGTTACAACATGGAATCAGTGTAAAATCCTTGTTATTATTTTTTTGATTCAAAAATGAGATTTACAAACTTAGTTGTGTCATAACATTTAAAGTCAAAGTTCAAGCAAATCATATTGATTCGATTCTTAAAAATTATAATTTAAATTTACTTATTATGAATAAATTAGCTGTCATAATTCATGCATTAGAATTAATTTAATCTGCTGAATAAGAGATCTAAACAAATAAAAACACTTAAGGGGCTGTTCACTTATTACGTAACGCGAAAAAATGACTTCTTAGACCCCCCCCCCTCGTAACAAAATTTGTATGAAAAAAAAATTTCCTTGTTTGAATCGTAACAAAATCTTAGACCCCCCTCCCCCTAAAAGCGTTACGTAATAAGTGAATGGCCCCTAAGCATAAAAATGAAAAAAAAAAATGAACTTTTACCTTTGAATAAAGGATTAAATACGTTCCTGATATTAATACATATTTATTTGCATCAGAATACTTTAGTTTTATCAAAAATTTATGTGACAAATATGCTAGAACTAAATCAAACCTTGCATGCATTTGGATTGGACCTGCTATGGAACTGATATTTGATGATTATAAAGTAATTGAAGGTATAATAACAAACCCAAAGTGTATAGCTAAAAGTTCGCAGTACAGTTTCTTGCATGCAGCAGTTGGAGAAGGTTTATTGTTCAGTAAAGGACAAAAGTGGTTCAACCGACGCAGAATCATCACACCGACTTTTCATTTCAAAATTTTGGAGCAGTTTTATGAAGTTTTTCAAAATCAGAATCGGAAGTTAATTGAGAAAATTAAATGCGAGCCAAATGGACAGCCTTTCAACATTTTTCCAGTAATCACTTCCTCTGTCTTAAATGCACTGATTGAAACTGCTATGGGATATGAATTGAAGGCTCAAGATTCTGAATATTTAAATGCTGTGAAAGAGGTTGGCGTGGTTATTGCTACAAGATTTCTTACTCCATGGCAAAGACCTGACTTCTTATTCAATTTATCAAGTTCTAAACGCAAACTTGACAAATTTGTAAGAATCTTGAAAGACTTCACAACAAAAATCATTGAAGAACGACGAAAGCTATTACTCAATAAGGAGTCTGAAGATTTAGAAAATTTGGACGAAGAAGATGTTGGATTGAAGAAGAAAATGTGTTTGCTTGATGTTTTGCTGCAATCAACAATCAACAACAAACCATTGAGCAATGAAGACATTCAAGAAGAAGTTGATACATTCACATTCGCTGGACATGATACAACAACGAATGCAATATGCTTTACACTTCACATGATTGCAAAACATCCAGAAGTACAAGAAAAATTAAATAAAGAAATCCAAGATGTGATTGGAGATGAAGAATTGACATTTAAAAGTTTGAATGAATTTAAGTACCTTGAGTTGGTGATTAAAGAAACTTTAAGATTGTATCCACCAGCACCGATGATTTCGAGACGTTTCTATGAAGAAGTTAATTTTGGGGATTTTATTGCTCCAGCAAATGCTAATTACAACATAGCTTTATTTAGTGCTTTTCGTAATCCTGAAGTTTTTGAAAATCCTGACGAATTTATTCCCGAAAGATTTTTGAAAGATTTGCCTGCATTTGCTTTCATTCCATTCAGTGCTGTAAGTTTTGATTAATTTATAATTATTTGAAGGGAAAGTTATTAATATTTCATGATTTTCATCTAATACTTAGGGTCAAAGGAACTGTATTGTAAGTATCTTGGACTGTATAATCAAATTCTTTATTAATTGAGTTCTAAAATTACATTGCTTTCCTTCAATAGGGTCAAAAGTTTGCAATGACGAGTATCAAAACCAACATTATCAATATTTTGAGGCAATTTACTTTAATTTCAAGTGGGAAGGAACCGGAAATTGAAATAAATATAACTCTTAAGTGTGACTCACTACTTGTAGGTTTTGAAAGCAAATAACATTGATTCTTACGAGTCAAAGTTTGGATTGCATTTAGTGGTTTTTGTCTTTGGATAAATCAAACCGCAGATTTTATTTTATTAGCAACATTAAAGAAATTCAACGTTTTGTAAAATTATCAATTTTATTGGGCTTCATTTCCAGTGGTTTTTTTAAAAAATTTTTTTGACATTCAATAATCAAGTTTTATATATAATTAAATATAAAGGTCACAAAAATAGAAAAATTAATTAGCACATATAAGGCCCATTAGGATAGCAACCTGTTGAGCATGAAAAAAATCAACAAGAAAGCAAGTTAAGAAAAACGTTGTTAAAACCTCGAAATTATTAATTTCATACAAAAGTTAAAATATTTACCTGGACCATCAACTACCGAAGCTCTTTGGTAGGCAGCACCAATAATGCAGAAAACAACAATAAAATTTGAAAAAAATTTAAAATTGAACATTTCTATAAACTTATCCTTACTAGTTCAATGGATTAAAATTAAAGAAATTGTTTTAAAATTTCTCACTTTTAAATGGAGTTTTGTGAATTTCATAGCTGTCAATTTGATTTCCTATTAATTAAATTAGTTTTGTGATTATAAATAATTGGTTGAAGTTGTAGTTGAAATATTAAAAATTAACCAGAGTTGCTTTCATTTGATTTACACAACGTTTGTGGTGGACGACACCCTTAAAAAATATTTTTACAAGTTCTGACATTTGTTTAAAATATTTATTTTTTACTTACATGGACCTGGTCTCTGTGGATTTGACATAACTCCACAAATCAAATAAAATATCACAACAAATAATGCGAAAAAATTTAATTTCATTGTTCAGATTTAATTTAGATCTTATCGATTTGAATTTCGAATTTAAACTGATTTGGAATATCTGAAATGATTTATTTTATAATAAATCAAAATGAATAAAGTAAAAATTTGAGTGACTGTAAAAAATGTGAATAAATTGTTGGATTTTTAAACTTTAAAAAATATGCAATGAAAAAATTTTAAATTTTCAAGGATTTCTGAATTCTTTATTCATAATTAGCTTTAATCATGATTTTCAAAATACAAAGTTTTAAAATTAATATATTTTTGAATTTGAATTAAAAATTGTTTGCTCCTATAAATTAGTCACATTCTTGATATGGAGGGTTGCAATCTAAGATCAAATAAATATTTTATTTATTAAAAATAATTTAAAATTGAAAATTTCTTACATTTTTTCTTATGCGAATAATAAGCCATGAAGAAAATGACGACGATAAATGACAAAACTTTCCAGTTCATATTTTTTTTCTTGACACTTTACAGGTCTTTTTGGTATAAGTTTTAAAATTGAACTAATCAAAAAAGTCTGAAAAATTTGCTTTTATACAAAAAATTACGATTAAACTCTCACCTATTTGCTACAAAATTTCTGCATTCGCTGTGTTGATAAAGGCGCTGAAGTGCTCAATAGCTTAAACTATAGAATGCTGCGTAATCTGCCCACGTGTACCCAGCCAAGATAGTAAGGACGTTTATCTTCTTAATCACAAAAACCTCGAAACAATGCAACAACCAGAAGATATTTTTCTTTCACAATAAAGAATGGAAACTGAATTTTTAACTTTATTCTAGATTCTAGCTGTAATTAAAGAATATGCTACAATAATCATTAAAACGAATTCAAACATTTCCGAGTTCAAAAATTCGATTTTAATAAAAATTAAGAATGAACAAATAAAAAACCAAAATTAAAATTTTGTTCATCAATCAATTGTGATTTGAATTATTAAATTTTATTTGCTTATTAAAAATTAAGAGACGAAATTTATTTAAAATTTTGAGATTTTTCAGCATTTTTAAAAGATTTTAAAAATTCAATAGATTCATAATTTTTATTTGATATCTATCCTCGTTTTTAAAATTGATTTCTAAATACAGCCAGGCACTGAAAAATAATTGAAAAGTTAACGAAAATGAATTTTTGAAATAAATGATAATTTTAATGATCAATAATAATTTCTTACTGCTGCCAACTCCTCCTTTTCTATATGCACAATTATAAATTATAAAGATAATGGCAAATAAAGTCATTGTTTTGAGATCCATCTCGACTTTTCAATATTTTTCTTATTCCGTTTTCAAAATTCAATCTAAAACTAAGATTTAATTGAATTTCGAATGACTTTTATTGTAAAATCAAATTACCAAGGCGTGGGAACTCAGGATTACTTCTGAAAATTCCCAAAAATCTCAACCAATAAACATGAAAATTTGAAAACTTTTTTAAATCCCTGATGCATTTGATGAATAATTTCTCCTGATTAATCCCGAGTTTCCACACCTTAAAAATTACTGAATTTTCAACGAACTGAATGATGCAAAGCTAGTGAAATATTAAAACTTTCATAAAAAAAATGCAATTTAATCAATCAAAAGTCAGTTGCTTATAAGATTTTTATTGGTTGTCATTTATTGAATTTTCATGCCCTAAGAGACCATAAGTATAAATAGAGTTAACTCAAAAACAATTTAAACATAGTAAATTCTGAATAACAACAAGTTTATCGTTGAAGATTTCTTAAACCAATTCAAAAAGATGAAAGTTATCAAAACCATTTTATACTTCGCTATTATTTACATTGTTGGTGCATACGCCGAAGAAGACCCATGCTCATGGGGTCAATGTCCATACCCTCCATCTGGATAGATTCACATAGATCAAATTAAATAAAATGCAAATTTTTGAAAACTCTTTTTAAAATTTTAATAACTTTTGTTTTTATTTTCATTAAATTAAAATTGATAAGTATCTTTTGCTTATATAATGTCCATTTTAATCTGCCTGATAAAAACCCGAATGGCACAAATTGGTTATTCGTTCAGCAATTCGGCACCAAGACGGTTTGATTCTTGCATGGTTCTCAATTTAAATTGGAGCTAGCACCACAACAGATTCATTATGGATTGACTCAAACAAAGATTCTAAAATTAATTCATAGCTTCATATGACAAAGCTTCGTTTGGCATCACGGGTGCCTCCGAATAGCCCTGTAAATATTAAGCTGAAAATTTTAAAAACTCAATTAACATCGAATATTTTTGAAAATTTAAATAAAAAAATAAAATAGAATTAAAACAAATTTTATTAATAATCTAACAAATTTAAATTCTCTTCATCGGGTAAATAACGACAAAAATTTCCATCTACTTTACACTCGCATGGACATGGGCCTAAGAAACACATGCAAAGTCTTCCTATGTCCACATGCTCCTCATCAACAACACTAGCGACTAAAATTATTGCTAGCATTAATACCAAAGTTTTTAATGATATTCTCATTTTAAGCAGCTGATATTTTGATGTATTAAGTTGATTTTAAGCACTTAATAGCTTCTGTGGAACTTCTGAGTCACTTAAAGTAATTTATAGTTTCAAGATTTTAATAAATAATTTCTTACAATTTCATGGATGTCGAAATTTTTTTTGTGGTTGTCATGATTTGATTTTCCAGTTGTCAGTTTACATCAGCTAGGGTTTTAAATCCCAGGATTACACAAATTTTAAATTCCGGGATTAAAAACCCTATCATCGACCATTTTCGAATACAATCAAAACTTAAGATAAATCTTGGGAAGTGCTTGTTGATAATTTTTCTTGTAAAGCTTACCTTTTTCCACAAAATTAATAAATTGTGCTTATAAAAATTGAAGAAAATTTGCTATTAATTCACACTAAGTTCAACATATATCGTGATCAAGCTTCAATTAAATTTGAAAAAAGACTGGAATTTAAAAAAAATTAATTTAATTTTAATCTCTTTTAAAATAATCAATAGCTTTATTCTTTAATTCCAGAACCAACCCCCCCCCCCCCCCTCCAAAAAAAATTACCAAATAAATGGAACTTTTTCCCTCAATATTCTAACCCCATAGCTTTGCCAATCTTCCTTTGTAATCCACAATTCTTCTGCTGTCTCCAATGATGTTAAGAGACATGCTCCACGCCATGACACATTAGCAGGATCAACATCCTTCACTGTATTTACAATATCGACATTTTCTGTTCGATAATTTGGTGGAATTGATTGACGAATTTTATTTTGCAGCCATTTCCCAAATCCTGGAACTTTGGAAGCACCGCCAGTTAGCAATATGCAGTTGTACATTTTCTTCTTTAAATCATCATTCGAAAGGTGCTCTATGCTCTGTAAAATAGCACTGTCGAGTCCAATAATTTGTCCATTTGTGGTTTGGAAGTCATTTGCATTAAATTTAATTAAATCATCGACTTCAGTATCCTCTTCAGCATCAACATTACTAACATCATTGATATTAAAAGTCGCTTCAATTTGATCCTTCGCATTCCTTCGTCCAGTTTCTCTTAAAAATTCAGCATTATAACAATCCTCTGAGTCAAAATCCTGTCCAAGTGTCTTTTGGATTTGAATAATTTTGTCACGATTTGTTGTTCCTAATGTGAATTTCAGTAAGTCTGTATAAAATAGCGACAATGGTGCAATCAGGAGCTCATCAGCAACCTGAAGGACATATCGTACTGGCGACTGATCAGGACGATTAATTATAAAACTTTTCTCTTGTGATCCACAAATGTCAAGATCAATGTGGCAATATTGTTCCTTTAAATGATTCAGCAGTGCTGCATCTTGATAGTTTTGTGTCTGACATTCCTTATAAGGAAATGAACACTTTTGAAGAAGCCAGAAGAAAGTCATCGTCACATCACTTCCTCCAAATTTCAATGAAACTCTTGTATTTGGATGTGAAATTGCATCCTCAACACAGGAAATTGATATCTTTTGATCGCCAATGTCCACAACACATGTGCAATTTAGACCTGATCCAAATGAAGCTGCTACATGCTCTTGAACTAAAATAAGTTTTTTATTAGTTTCAGAATTGAAAAAACTTATAAACTTGCTACTTACTCAATATGATAGACTTGAATCCCATCTCAAAGAGGAGTTCAGCCATCAATTTGATTCGTTTCCGATTGTAAATATCTGAAATAACTAGAACTGCCTTGTATTCGTTCAACTCCTTCAAATTAATGTCAAGAAAATTTTTGATAGCAAATTCCCAAATGCATTTGATGTGCTCAAGAGTCGCCGTCAAACTTCCACCAACATTTTTATGGATATTCAGTTCACCTCGTCTTATTGGAAAATGAACATTAAAGTTGCTATTCGGACTTAATCTCAGCACATCAGCTCCAATGATATAATTCACATTACTTTTTGGTGTCAGCCAGTAAGTTTGTTGTGAGCTGTTGATGATTTCTGGCAAACTTCTCTTATTGAATTGTGCCAACTGCTGTGGTGAGATTCCGTACCTTTTTCTTCCATCTGATTGATATGAACTTTGTAGTAAATGTGAAACGCTTATCCGACTTTCATCCATTTCAGCTGACAGTTCCTTAGTCTTTATGACTTGAGGTGGCAACAAAGAGTCCATATGAACATGTTTTGGATCATTACTTTTGCGTTTTCTCGCAATGCAATTGAGAATATTTTCAGGATTTAAATCGCTTGCCTTTCCAATTCGCAAATAGAGCGATCCAGGATGAATTATGATAATCTTATCGCTCATGTTGTAGCTGAATGACTGATTTTTAATTCAGTAAAATTGATGAAATTGAGAAAGATTGTTCCTTGATAAACTTTTGTTTATATTGGTTAGCGCTCATTTGCAGAACATTCGGGAGAGTGGAACTAATTGAGAGAATAAGAAAATTGTGAGAGTAAGGCCACATGTGATGTTTGTTGCCATTGGAGATGAGAGAATTTTGCTAAACAACATTTTACAAAGCAAGGGGCTTATTAAATTGCTTCTCATTGAATTCCTGGTTGATTATGTTAACTTATTCTTGGAAATCATTATAAATTAAATGTAAAAAATGATTTATTTTTAATAAAATGTTTGAATAGACTTAATAATAAATAATAATTCATTTAAAAAAAATCATATAAATAGATCTGGTTTATTAATTCAACAACTCAGTTTTAAATAGTTCACAAACAAAAGATTAACTTAAAGGAATAATAATGAAGTTTTTGACATTAATTTTCGTTTTTGCAGTTTTTTTCATCGTTGGAAGTGATGCTTGTACAATAGGAATATGTCCACCAGAAGCGACCCCCGATCTAAATCCATTACAAATATTACTGAATGAACTTCAAAATAAATCAAAGTACAACAATACGATTAACTATTGATCTATTCGTTGACATTCCCGAGATGTACAATTGAAAATTGTTCCGTGAAGGTCCTGCCACGGATTGATACATTCTATATGAACAATTGCTCCATTTAGTAACCATATGTAACATTGAACAATGAATAAAACTTAAAAGTAATTAACAACTTAATTTTGATTTTTTATTTTTTCACAATTCACAAAGTTCTGACTGTGTTTATTTCTAGTTTATCTTTCAATTCATAACCTTCAATATATTTTCAATCTTGTAATCTGAAACAAAACAAAATAATTTGTGAACAAACCAAATTGGAAACTCTGCATAAGATCTAAACTACCAATCGTAAAAAATTTCATGCCTTTAAAATCTTGCCTACAAAAACAATTAAAATTATCGCTTGAAATAATTTTGACAAACTATTAATTTTGAAAAAAAAATTTTTTTCTGTAAATATCGCGAACTTTAGAGAACCAACTTTAGTTCTTACATTAAACATTAAGTTAAAAGAAAAAATATGAAATTTCCAGCAATATTTATCACGTTTATGCTTATTTTCGTTGTTCGAGCTGATGATGAAGGCTTTAGTTTTCCACTAAACTAGGCCACTTCATCATTACAATCTTATTTACATAAAGCATTCGAATAGAACTAATCCTTCAAATCGTATGTCACGATCTAATCAATCTGTTCCAGACACTAAAACTACAATTCAGCAATGTTCTAAAATATGACAAAAATAAAGAAAAATTTAAATAGAAAATGTTTTGAAAATCTAGCATGGGGCCGTTCACTTATGACGTCAAAGGAGGGGGGGGGGGGGGTCAACAAGAAAAGAACAATAGAAATTCCTGGAAATCTTTTTTGAAAAATGACCCTTAATTTCGGACGTCATAAGTGAACGATTCTTATAACAATCAGGTGCGTAGCCAGGGGGGGGGGGGGGGGGGGTTGGGGGACCTCCTTCATATTGAGAAATTTCTTACTTTTTCCTAGAGTTTTTATGAATAACTCGAAAAAATCCCCCCCCCCCCCCCCCCCCCCCCTAGAAGTTTTCCATACAAAAAAAATTGTCCCCCCCCCCTCTTCAAATTCCTGGCTACACAGAGCCAGAACGATGCTCCGCAGAGCTTTATTGTTCCGCAAAAAATTCTGGCTGCATGTTTAGTGGTTGCCAGCGTGAAGGGAAATAAAAAATGAATGATTTGCTGATTTTTGTAATTTTTATTTAAATTGAATGCATGTCGACTAAATCGACGAATGGTCATTATAAAAATTTACTTTGTTTTGCACTTTTATGGCAAAAAAATTGGCAACAAATTGATTAAGTTTCAAATTTTGTTTTATTTTAAATACAAAAACTTTTTAAATTTACATATAAAAAATATTTTTTAAATCTCAAGCGATTCAATTAAAATAAATGTTTCTCAATAAAAATTAAAAAGTTATCTGGTGCTACTCAAATAAAATGAGTAGAAAGTCCTTGAAGGAAATGTTCCAAAAGCAGGAATTATCCTGAATAGCTAGTCAGAACAACATGAATAGCTTGTATACATTAAACTTGTACAAGAATGTTGCAAAAGTAAACTGCACAACTTTAAAGAACATTTTTCAATTTTCTTGTGTAAAATTGTCCTTTTTTCAAAAACTTGGAAGGATTTATTCATGACGCAAACCTTCATTGAATGAAAAAGAATCCTGATATATAAATATAATAAGTGTCTCATAGTGATTGTGATACATTTTCTTATGCACATAGTTTATTGTCATAGTTATGATATAATAGATTGAGTTGCTAATGGGACATTTACAGTTACGAGACAGGTCACCTGTCACCTGTCAGAACAGATCGCAACAGCTCTTGGGTTATTTAATTGCTTCATAGGAAAAGAGGTCTGACATGGTTTTAAGAAATTATTTGTTTTCTTTCATGGAAGAGGGGCTATTTGAGACAAAGACGTGATAGAATGGGAGTAGGAAGTCTTAATATTTGACCACGGTAGAGGATTAACAAGTTGGCTGATTCATTGAAACCTATTGAACAAAAATTTTTTTAACTGAGTAGGAGGGGGGGGGGGGGCTGGAGGGGGGGGCCTGGAGGGGGGGGGGTTGTAGAGATATCACGTTTAACCTAGAAACTCATTCAATCCTAGCAATTGTAACTATCTTGCCTATCTTAATAGAAAGACCATCGGTTTTCGCCGATTTTTGGTCAAAAAGCTAGTCCTGTTCCGATTTCACCTTTGAAAAAACGAAGCAGACCCAAATTCCAAGCATTTTCCAAGAAGTCCGGATTTGGACAGCCTACTTCACATAGTTATCATGTTCAATCCAATTTTCCACTCTCCAACTTCGAAGGTTTAATATCATCAGATAATTTATTTCTTAAGAAAATTCTCCAAGTTCCTTTGAAGGTCCATTAAATACCATTGAAAATTATTAAAACATCCCTCATAACTACCTTCAAATAAATTTTCCATATTTCATTTCTCGCGTTTCACTTCACTAAACATCCTTAAAGTCATTTTCCTCCTTTTTTTCCATTCATTTTTTTCATTTCCTTTTGAAATTCATAAAAGTAATAATTTTTATTTCGCATTCAACAGTAAACGATAGAAAAAGTGAGAAGGGAAGGCAGTAATGCTAATTTTTTCCTGCCTAAATGCCTAACATTTATTTATGAATGAGTTTCTATGAATTTTTAAGGCTCTGCTCGAGTTCACTTTGAAGTTGCGTCGATTGTTATTAAATCTTGAGAATTTTTTCTGTTGCTGGAGATTTGAGACGTGAAATTAAGGAAATTAGGAAAATTCTTGCAGATGACTTATTGACTTTTCGAATTGTTTTAATTTAATTATGATGATTTTGTGAGGGATGTTGATGGATTTAGCTGGGAAGAAGAGTGTTTCTTGTGTTTTCAAGGATGTGAGGGGTGAAGAGGGGCTTTAGTGCTGTTAGGGTTTACAAAAATAGTAAGTTTGAGTGTTAACTGAGACTAGATATTAGGAACTTTTCTTTAATGATGATCCTTGAATAACTTTTGGTCAAGTAGCTGGATATGTCCGGATTCCAGCTCTGCAAAGCGGAACAGACCAAATTTTCAAACATTTTCCAAGAAAAACAGGTTCAAACAACGGAATATTAAGGATTGTAGGCGGAACTTTGGTCAAAAAAGCTGGACTGTCCCGCTCTGAAGTTTGAATGCAAAAAAACCTCAAAAAACAGAAGAATCGACTCTTCAACTTCTACAACAAAGCATTAAATTAAGGGCACAAAATGAAGATAAACATTCGATTGTTTCAGAATGAATTGTAGATAATTTGAAGTCTATATCCTTAACACAAAAAAAAATCAGCATCTCAATTCATCAAATACAACGCTGAGTCATTAGATTTTGTCAATCGAGCACCCCAAAATCAATCCATGACCCATTTCTTTTTTCAATAGGAAATTCAGCACAAAAATTAAATTTTCTCTCAGATAAGAAAACGGCGAATGAGGATTGAAAGCGTGCGGACTCTCAAGACATTGACATTCGGGGCAATTTCCGTTTTATTTTCTGTACGAAAATCCCTCGCATTTTCTCAATTTTTCATTTCTTAAAGCACTGTGATGATAAATGCTTGTGCGAGGTCAACTTTAACTAGAATTTTCGCTCACAAATTGAATGAATTTCTCTTTTTTATCATGAGTTCATGAGAATGAGGATGTCTGTTATGGACAGAAGCCTAAATGAAGATTTTTCATTCACGCTTTTGTTGATTCTGTTGTTCTCTGGAAGCTGCTTCTGGAAGTTGATTATGGGATGAATATTGATGAAAAATGATGCAATTGGAGATTAGGAATGTGGCTGGATTATTGGTGGATTCTGGTCGTGGTGATGTTAAAGCTTTTGGAGAATTGTGAAGCTTTGTTCTAAAATATTGGATATCCAGCTACATACTTAACATTTCGACAAGCTTTAGCAAAGTTATTTTGGTTTACAGTAAATGATTTTTCAGACAGCACTTTACTGAACATCCCCACATTAGTGCAATAGCATAAAATACAATAGCATCAAATACAATCTTAAATGTCTATGCACAATATGCCTCTGAACCTTCCCGCCCTCAAAAATCCACTTTCACACCTTAAAAAATAACAATTCTTTTTAAAAACAAAAAAAAAGTCACCAAACAATTTCAACAACCAACAAAAAAGTGGAACAGCTTACAACAATTCAACACAAATTCAAATCCATAAATCATTTTCATGAAAAATTAATTCTAATGAAATTTATTGCATTGAGGCATAAAAGAAGAAGAAAAGCAATTCTCTTTTGTCAGCTTTACATCTCATTTAAATCGACCTCAATATAATGTAAATTACCTTTTATGTCTTTCATGCTTATAAAAGTAAAGGAAAAGAAAAGTGTGAGTGGAAAGTTTATTTGCTGTGTTGAAGGGGAAGTGGAAGGGGAGCGGGATTTTGTGAAAGGGCTTTGAAGAATTGGAACAGAGACGCTTGATTTGAAGGTAGAAACGCTACTAAAGGGGAGTTTCTTGTTGGATGCCCTATTTTGGACTTAATTTAAGGATAAACTCGAATAGCACAAGTCTGTTAATTGAAACGAAGTCCGACACCAAGCTATAATAATTCTGGATTTGATTTTACTGGATTAACGATCAGAAAATTCAGAATTCAGACAAACAGAAGCCATGATTCCAGAGCTCGAAGTCGACTGGAGATTTTCCTAGATTTTTTATGGCGGAGTTGACTTGACTTCATACAAAATTTCATCGACTTCGAGCTCTCCATGATTTACAACAATAACCCCCAAAATAATTTCCCCCAAGAAAATCGCGCTAAAAATCACGTGAAAAAATCTGAAAAATTTCTCGTGGAAAACTTTTGCAATTTAAAGATTGAAAATTGCGCAATCTTTCTTCTTTTATTCTCTTCCTCCTTCATCCATAGCTCATGATATTGTGAGAACTACACAAAGAGGGGTGGAATAGAACAACTCAAGAAGGAAGAAGAAATAAGCGAAGAAGTTAAGAAGCATCAAAGATACGAAATAATCAATCGACCTTTTATTTATTTTTATAGCATTCGCTATTAATTCAATAAATAAAATCCGATTCAGTTCCAACTTTTTTTTTTCTTTGCCGTCATTCTTCTTCTTCTTCCACTGATGCTTTGTGTATATAAAGCTCTATCGTTCGAAAGATATGCTATATTGTGTTGTATTGAGGTTTCAACCTTATTTTTATTTATTCTGATGTTGAAGCGCACAGAAATGGAAAAGAAATTGACTCGATCTTCCCTATTTTTTGTATCTTGTGCTTGCTTTTCTGATAATATAATTTTCATTGTTTGGGATGATGATTTTGGGGAATTGGATTGATGGTGGATGGGGTTGGATAATTTGACGGAAATTGAATTATTGACAATTCAAGGAGCTGAAGGTTGACAGATGGTTCGAGCATAAAGTAGAGTTGGCTATAGATTGTTTTACCATTTAAAACTGGGATCAGAGGGTCCAATATTAAGAACTAAAACAAGAACTCTCCTGCATAGAGTCACTCCTACTAGTAGAACCTCATCACACATTCCTCATCCACACACATGAAATGAAAACAAATTTTTGAAAAGAAACAGATTTATCCATGTGCATTTTATGGTATTCCCTTCAAAATGATTGAAAAAGTTTTTTTCTCTCCACTTTTCAATTTTTTTCCGTACATCTTCTTTCCATCATTTTCTTCCATTATCTGTCTCATTTCATCGGCAACTTTCTTTTTGCCTCATTCTTGCGCTTGAATATGGCAAGAATGAATGAGTAAAGTACGAAATGAGCATCAATAGAGGAAGAAGAAGCTGTAGGCAGTGGCAATGAATAATGGTGAAATGTGAATAAATGAAGAAAAAGAGGAAAGTTTGTAGGTGCATGGAGCTGAAGGGTTTGTGGCGCAGAATTAAGACAGCCACAGGAATGGCAACTATCAAAAATAGAGCTTATGAGAAATATTTATATATTTATTAAGCTTAAGATCCTTTGTTGTACTATTTTTACGTCTTTTGTGAATCCAAACTAATCGATTGGCTGCAGCCATAAAAACTGATTCCAAGCCTCCCACATACCCAACAAAAATTCGACATCGCAGAAAATAAAAAGTAAAATAGCGAATAGGATAAGCAATTGCCTCATTTTATGCCTTTTGCTGTTCATGGCATGAGGCAGAATGATTTGTTGATAAATGCTTCCATCATATTAAAGAAATTTCAATAAATCTCTCATTCTAGCGCGTAAGAATGTGAATAAAGCGAGAAAAATATATATATATAGAGTGAAATCCCACCTCATAATTCACGGTGCAGGCTGAATATTTCTCATTGAGTAATAAATACTTTCAATTTGAATGCGAGAAATATGCTCGTGAATAAGATGAAATAAAATATTGCATTGAATTTAATCCGTGTGATTTTTTTGGTGTCTGCACAGCTTAATAGATTTTTTTTGTTGAGCTTTATGATATATTTTTATATGAAGGTGAGTTTATCAAGTTTAGGGCTTTCAAAATGATTTCAGATTTTGAAGAGTAATTCCAATAGAAATTCCTAATAAACTTGACTTTATTTGCTTGCTCTGGCTTCAAGAATAAGATTTTAAAAGAATTAAATAGTGAAATGCTCTGATTGTAGCAAAAAAGACTGCCTAAAGTGCGATATGGGACAAATCCGTGAAAAAATGAATATATTAATCTAAAGTCAATGAGGAAAAAAATGCACTTTCTCTGACTGTATAGATCAGCTGTTATCCATGACCTCTCTTAGGCTTCGCCTGGCTCTACCACCTACTATATTCTTCCAAGTTTTGATTCCAAGTTTTGATTCCAAGTGCATCACTGTCTATATCATCATTCACGTGAATCCCTATAAAAACCACGACAACTTCAAACCACATTCAGATAGATTTCACGTTTTCAATACTGAAATAACAAGATTAAAAAGAGTTTTCCGAACTCATACGGAAAAAGTCGACAGTGTCATGTCGTCTGTGGAAACCTTTTGCGAATACTTTAAAAGAATTAAAATTGAAAAAGTTCAGATCGTTCTGCACTTGAATGTATTCATTTCAGTTTGTAATGAAAAAATTCTTAGAAAAACTTGATAGGATTTTAAAAAGACATGCTAAGACTGATTGTCTTCTATTAAAAATTTTGAATTTCTTTTTTGACTTGAAAGGTTTTTTAATGGAAAATCAACAATTTTTTGTTCAAGTTGGAATTGGAATTGGAAATTTTTTTGTGTGGTTTTATTTGTGTAGGCTTTTATTTAAACAAGTTTCCGAGCCTAAGAATCCATAATTATGCCTCATTTTTGGGAGCCTCGTTAAGCAACCTAATCTAGGTTATATTCTAGTGCTATAAATTTTACAATCCCAATTGAAGATATCGAAGAAATTATGTATATTAAAAATTATTATTAAAAAAGATAAACCAAAATTTTTAAGGGAATCACCTGAAGTTATCTTTAAGTGGCTACTTAAGTGATGCTCATTTTATAAGCCCGAGCTACAATGTTTTTATTTGATGCCTTCACAAAGTTGTCCAAAATCAACATTTTATTTGCCCATTCTTAAATCCCTATTTTGTGGATTTTATTCTTTTTGAATTTTGACATCAACTTAGGAGCCATTCACTTATTACGTAACGCTTTTAGGGGGAGGGGGGGGGTCTAAGATTTTGTTACGATTCAAACAAGGAAATTTTTTTTTCATACAAATTTTGTTACGAGGGGGGGGGGGGTCTAAGAAGTCATTTTTTCGCGTTACGTAATAAGTGAACAGCCCCTTAAAGTACCATCGTATATCTAGATCGGGTTTAGTCAATGACTTTATTTGTTTATTGATCCGGAATTGATAATTGCTTAAAGTAAATTAATCCCTGTTTTTTCAGTTAAACTGTAAACTTGTAATAGAAATGAAGTCAAAAATTTTTGTGTTCATTTTATTTATTTTAAAATTTCAAGCAGCTTTTGGCCAGAATGAGAAGCTCAACTGCAACTATTTTCTATCTGGATCATTCTACACCTGCTATTTAACCATATCTAATCCAAATGGATTTGATGGTTTTGCTGGTGTAAATGGAACTCATACAGGAAGCTACACAGACAATGATGTTAAAAATATCACAATTTACGTCAGTTCCAATTCAGTCTCAACAAACATTCCGTCAATACTTTGTGAAAAGTTCAAGAATGTTGCAACAATTTCTTTAAATAGAATTGGAATTAAGAAAATTGGTGTCAATTCTTTTAAGAGATGCAGCAAGATTCAGAGAATAAATTTAGAGAATAATATGATCAATGAGATCCACGAGCAGGCATTTGCTGACAACTTGGAACTGCAGTTTATTGAATTTTCTGGAAATAACATGACGACATTGCATGAAAATCTTTTTAAAAATCTGACAAAATTACTCAATTTGGACTTTTGCTCAAATTTGATATCGGATCTGCCAGAAAATATCTTCAAAAATTTAAAAAATCTCAAATCACTGTCGTTGTGCTGGAATCAAATCTCATACCTCAAATTCGGATGGTTTAAAATACTTGGAAATTTACAAACACTCAATTTAGGCACGAACAAAATTGCCGTCCTTCAACAAGACATCTTCAAACCATTATCAAGCACATCAACTATTTTATTAAATAACAACAAGCTCAAAGCCATCCATTGCGAATCATTTGGTGTTCAACCTAAATTAACAACAATCAATTTGTATGGAAATGAAATTTTCGCATTTGATGAGCAGTTTATCGATGACACAGGGATTGTTTCTATTTTTATGACTGATAATGTCTGTATCAGCAAAAATATTTATGATAGTACACAGGCTAGAGAGTCAATGAGGGCTGATTTGAAGAAATGTCTTGAAAATTATCAGAAGCTGATTACACGTAAGAATTTATGTTATTATTTTTAGATTTGACTAGCTCGAGCGACAAAAGGGTTTAAGTTGATGATATGACACTCTAAGTGAAACATTTGCTAGAGTTTGTCTTAATCTGGTGCAGGTTTTAGAGCTTCTTGAGGTGTTCTATCTTAGCCAAAGTCAAAATTTGTTTAGTAGGATATGGTCCATTGAATAATCTTCAAAGAAATCAGTCTTAAGGCGGTTATGGCTATAAACATCTAAATAACGAAACTAAAAGCTGTCCATGACAATAATCATCTCTTTACTTTATTTATATGGATGTCAAAAATAAATAATTCCCATTTTTTTCAGGCATATTAAAAGCCCGAGTCATAAGTCTCGAAGGCAATGTTGAAGAATTCAACAAAAAGTTCCAGGATATAACAATTGAGAACAACTATTTCTCTACAAATATTCAGCATCTGCTAGATGACAATAAATTATTGCACTCTCAAATCGCAAACTTAACTAAAGAGAGTCAGGATCTCCGAGACATCAACAGCGAGCAAAATGTGAGAATTTCAAATCTTGAAGAAGACAAGCAAAAGCTTGAAGAAGCTTTGGAAAAATTAGAATCAACAATAGAAGTTCTTTTAGAACAAAATGAAGCTCTGAACTCAACGATAGCTTTCCAAAAGGTCTTAATAGATGAGCTCATCAATGAAATCAAAAGACTCGACAGTAATATGGAAGTCATAGCAAGGAAAGGTGATGAATTGGAAGAAACAATTGAAGAATTTTTGCGCGATCGAGAAGAAATGGATGAAAAATTAAAATCCATCATTAAAATCTTTAAAATAATTTCTACAGAAATGGAATGTGCAAATGGAATCAACTAGTGATTTCTTGTAGTTTATTAAGTTTTAATAAAAGTGTTTGGATAAGTTTGAGGTCTTATTGGGGAGCGAGGAAGGGGGGTGGGGGGTGGGTTATAAGTTTTGTAGGTTTTGGACTAATTAAGACAAATTTTAAATATTTTTTTTTGAAAAAATAGAGGACTGTCTTCTGAACACCCAAGCGGATAGTCAGCCTAACCTAAATTCATTCATAGCTGCTTTTTTCAATTAAGGTTCTTAAAATTCGAAAAATATCCAATATAATTCTCACACAGCTTTTTTAGAAAATCAGCATTCAAAGTTCATGAACCTCTCCATTCAATAATAATCAGTTCCACCATCAATTCATAACTTATCTCATTTCCATCAAGCATAAATGTCCGCAAACTGTCAAAAAAAGTTAATCACGCTCGTCATTTGCAACAGATTTTTTTTTGTTTTCTTCACCATTCATTTCACGAGTCTGTGATTACATAAAGGAGGTTCTGCTGATGACAAAGTTTACATTCAAATTTGTGCCATTTAATGGCTTTCCATTAGGCTATAAGTGAGCTAAAGGGATTGTTTTTACAGCATTGCACGAGAATTCTATTGTAAGTTAATGGGAAATGATAAAGTTTAAGGTATGCTGAGTGGGAAATAGAAAATTTGTGAAGATTTAATTAGACTACGATTGCCGTGCTAATAGAGATTCGGATGGAGTAAATTAAGTGAATATGTGGATATTTTGAGGTTAGAAAAAATTTATTTTTGGGAAGATTAAATTTTGACCTTCAAAATTTAATCCCAAACTCAACCTTAACTTAATCGACAAGAAATTCATTCATTTAATGTGGTTTAAAAAAACTCCTAAAATTGCTTTTTTTTGTGAAAAGAAAATTCAATTTGTGGTAAATTTGAATAATGTTTTTCCTTGCTGTTGTTGCCCTTTACCTTTTCAATTCCAAAAATTTTTCATCTTTTTTTTCCGAAGCCACAAATTTAATTTTGGTACAAAAACTTTTCTTGTAGATTTTTTTTATTTGCTTTTCTCTGATTTGTGTCTTTTAAATGGTTTTATCAATTTCAAGATTCAAGTTTAAATCGATTTGGATGCAAAAGATATGGAAATAAATGGAACGAGACTTTAATGAAGCATGTTTTATGGTTGGATTTTATTGGGATTTTTCTGGACAATAGATAGAGGTAGGGGTTGGAAGTTGTATTAAAATTTATTTTGAAAAACGTCATTTGTGAACACAATCCAATTAATCTACAAACATGAAAAAATTCCTATCCAAAAAACGAACTCAAACCCAAATCTCACCCTTCAACTTCCTTAAATTTCAATAAATCCTAAATATATTAAAAAAGATTTACACCATAAACCTAGTGTCAACAATAAAGTAAATCAAAATCTTTCACGGATGTAAATTCAAATCACTTTGTAGACATTTTGAACTAAGCTATTAAAATTGCCACTGTCTTTTGTCACATGAAAATGGCAATTTTATTACACAATTTATTTTTAAAAATTACTTTTTCATAACAAAAGCAAGCATTTTACTGTGATATTCATGAACTTTTTGTCTCGGTCTTGTGGAGGTTGAGTCCTTAGGGTGATTTTGCGGAATTTTATCAAATTTTAAAATATTTTAATTTATTATTTTTTTCTTCAATTTTGAATATTTTCAAATATTTTTTCAACTTTGATTTTTTGAATCTTTTTTAAATTTCGTTTTAATTTTTTTGAATTCTTAAATTCAAATTTTTAATTTTAATTCAATTTTTTGAATTTTTTTGTTTTAATTTTCTTAGAAACATTATAAATTCAAAAACCTATTTTAAAATATTTTATATTCAAAAATTATAAAATTTTAAAATATTTTAAATTCAAAAACTCAAAAATTTTAAAATATTTTAAATTCAAAAACTCAAAAATTTTAAAATATTTTAAATTCAAACACTCAAAAATTTTAAAACATTTTAAATTGAAAAACTCAAAAATTTTAAAATATTTTAAATTCAAAATAATAAAATTTTAAAATATTTTAAATTCAAAAATTTTAAAATATTTTAAATTCAATACACTGTAAAATTTTAAAATATTTCAAATTCAAAAACTTAAAAATTTTAAAATATTTTAACCTCAAAAATTTTGAGGTTTGAATTTATTTTAAATTAAAAAAATTCCAAATTTTTTTAAAATTTCTGACGAATTTAACAAATGGATTCACTTCACGATGTATAATTTAATGTAAATACTTCTATGCCATTGTGTGGCGGTAGTCGCATAGGCATAGACGTAGAACATTATGTAGATACTAAAGAAACATAAAACATGTCGTGGAAAAATAAACATATAAATCATCTATGTGAATAAATATGTGCTTAAAAGTATACGTAGATCTTCCTTAACTTTCTACATACGAGTGGCATTTGCGAGTACAACAAATGGAAAACTGGGATCTAAAAATAATATTTAGCTACAAATTTATGCCATAAAATTAGAATTTTTTTTGGCATTGTGTGTTTAAAATTTTTACCTTATCGATGGGTTTTATCGTGTGTGGGATTTTTGTGGGATTTTCTAGTGAAGGAAGTTGTTTAAATTTTTGTATTTCATTGTGGGTAGTTCCGAAAACCCATTGAATTCAATGATGTTGAATAAGAATGAATTCTCAATTTAAGGTACGGGTTTTGATACCTTTTTCACATGAGAGGTTATCCATAAATGATGGACATTAACAAAAATAATTTAAATACGCACAGATGCAGTAGTTTCAAGCTAGGTACCGTTTTGTTGAGCCTTAGCTATACTAGTGACATGAATTCAACCCTTTCTCAACTGAAACCTTGTTTGTGCTTAATCGTTAGCTTTTATCAATTGCCTGTTTATTAGCATGAACAACACTGATCTCGTCTACTTAATCCCTTAATTATTTAATCTCCATTTCTAAGCAGAAAACAAAATCCAATAATTTTAGGTCAAGAATGAAAAAATTATCCTTATTGTATCAGTAATCCAGCAAACAAAAATTATACACATTTTCGATTCTGCAATTTACGAGCAAATAAATTGTTAAAGCATTTATTGCGTATAGCTTGTATACACAGAAACCCCAAAAAAAAAGAGTAATTTTTCTCTCTCTACGTAGAAGCTCACAAACATGTACATATAAATTGGCAGATAAATGATTCACATGAAGTACAATTTCCAATAATGAACACAAAAGAAAATAAAAATTGAGAATTTCATTAATTTTTCAAAAGTTCGTTGAGGCAGAGGGGAAATTAACATCGAGTAAAATATATTCACGTCTGCTGTGAGTGTGTTGGGGTGAGATAATGATATACACGTGGAAAATAATGGATTTATGAGGAGAAGGAATTGCTCAGAGTTTGTGGATGAATGGATAATCATTAACGAGATTGTTTATGTTTAGCATTAAAAGAGGCATTGTTGAGTCCTCATCAACATACCTTAGGCATTGAACTCCTTTTTTTTCAAGGCGTGGAAACTATCCTGAATATCCCAAAAATATCAAAAATAATCCCTGAGCTTGTATGCATTAAAATTGACATATCCTAAAGTTATACGTCCAATACACAAAGGATTCGTGAGAATTTCTTGTTTATCTTGCATACAGGCTCAGGGATTTTGAGATCTTTGGGACATTTGTGATAGTTTCCACGCCTTGCCTTTTTTTGAGCATTTGTTAATATTCAAACAATCAAAATTGTCCATTTTAATGCGCAAACTTTGCTGTTAATGGACAATTCACAAGTGCTCAAAGCTATGTGCTTTTAAATTCTCTTAACAAAGGGGGTGAAGGGGAAGATGGGCTAGTTACATACAATTATTGTATGGAGGTTGTTCAGGGCTATTTCTCCAAAACCCTAGCAAAATGAAAAAATTTCTCTTGTAAAAAGGAGGATTTATCCCTCAAATCCCCGTCGACTACACACTTGTCTCTTAAAAAAGCTTTATTTACTTAAATTTCTATTTACATCCAACTTAAAGCTCTTTTTAAGGACCCTAAAGTCAAATTGCTTTTGTTCTTAACCCCATTTACTAATTTTGTTTATCGCTGTCATAAGCAAATATATCTAATATCTCAAACTGAATAACAAACCCAATTTAAACGTCATTCCTGCATATTCAAAATCCTTCCAGGAATCCAAATAAAAAATAAATCTCAATTTTCTGTGCCTAATTTTTCCTCAATTTAGATTTCTCATGAGATAAATTTAAATATGATGGTTTTGACATTTTATTCAGAAAATGGAAGGAAATTGAAATCGATCTGAATGAATTCAGTTTTAAAAAAATATAAACATTGGGCAATAAATTCAGATGAGATTTCAGTTTTATTTACTGACCCTTTTATGAGTAAGGAAAGAAAAGTTTACTTTTGAGTTAAAACTCGTGAAAGGTTTCTTTTTAATTTGGGTTGAAAAGTCTTTGGTTAAGGAATTTATTTTTAAAGAAGTCAGTGAAAAAATTCGTTGGAAATTGTTTGTAAATTACTTTTTGGATGATGACTGTCAAAAAGCGAAGCTATACAAAATCTTATTAATCTGCTCTGGCCTAATTCTTAATTTAAATAAGATTTAATAAAAACTTTTACCTGCCAATTGTTGAATTTATGACTGTTGAGACTTACATCAGGTGCATTGTTAAGATTGAACTACCCCCTCCCCCCTCCTCCATCCCCCCTAGTTACAGGATTACAAACTATTAGAGTATGAAGAAAGGTTTAATGCTACAAAATGGTTCATTCAGCTTCTAAAACCAGAGCTTGAAGTCGATGAAATTTTGTATGGAGTTGAGTCGACTCAGAGTTGAAAACTCGAGTGGGCTTCGAGCTCTGTCTAAAACCATTACTTAATAATTGAATGTCACATGAGTGGATGTCCTAATTTTCAACAAACCACGATAGTTGCACTAGCTTGTCAGATTATCTTCTGGTTACTGCACAATTTTCAACTTCATAAAAGTCATGCAGATTCCATTAACATCAAATTCCATTCGTAATTAAACATTTGATACTAAAAACTGAGACAGACACAAA